TGTTTTTCGATCTACAGCCGTGGCCCATATATATAGCCCAGGAAGGTGAGAAGATAAATTTCGCCGGGGGTGTGAAATTGAAGTTAGATGCAGAAACGGATCGACACTCCAGAAATTCAGAGGATAGATAACGAAGAGATAACAGATTCGGACTTATTGCTTCCCCTAGTTACAAAATATCGTGGGATAGATACGAAAGATTTACATTGACCAGCAATCAACCCACCAAGGTTTCTTTGGATTGAAGGGAGTTCGAATCCCCACAGGGCCGAAGGTCATCATAAACCGAGTCACATCGGCCCATTGATAAAATTATGCCAAAGAAGGGGAAAAGCCGCCTACCTAACAGATGCCTAGCTGATTTCTCGGTGACTGGGAAACTGCGGGAAAGAAGCCTATGGCTTTCTCGATGGGCATTTGATGGAGCAAACAAGGGGAAGGTGTCCACATATTTTAGCCCTTGCAAACACTAGAACAGCTCTACGAGCATGAAGAGAAGACTCATGTGATATCACAAGAATTCTTCTAACTGTAGTAGCTGATCCTCTTGCTCGACAAGATGCTATGATGAGCGACACAATCACCCTATGCATAAGAATTCTTTTACCGCTCAAGATCTTCATAGCAAAAAGATAGACCATGGAGGGTCCGGCGGAGTCAGAAGTACTCGAGGGGGCAGATGGTAGAGAAACATAGCTGAATTGTTGAGTTGCTCTCGCCAGGGTCGGATAGACATTTTATAGCCGGCCTAGAAAGATGAATCCAAGTGCCCGTGAAGCAATGATGCTCTCGTAAAAGTTTTGAAGCATGGACTCATGAGCTGACATAGACGATGACAAATAGTAGACCCCAGATCAAGATTCTCTACCCATGACTGCGAGCCTATTGGGGGTACAGACGTGATAATTTTGGAATAAAATTATTTTTATCCCAAAATTGGGGGGCATGTGTTTACACCAAAATTTGGAAGAGGAATTGTAGGGACTCAAAAGCTCCCAAGATCATGTCATCAAGGAATCGATTGCATGAAGGTCGGTATCAGCTGATTCGAATACAACACTAGAATCGGCCTTCTTCAGATAGCGCTAGAAGATAACAACAAAAGCTATGATCGGCGCCAGGGAAAAGCATGGTGGACTCTATAAAAAGGGAAAGATTAGGGTCCAAGTTATCTTAAATTAGGAATATTTTCTCTTAGGCTAAAAATTGTGATGAGTCGTGCTTAAGTAGGAATCATGCATAGGTTCCGGGTATAAATATTGGACCCCGGCTATTGTAAATGACACACAACCAATCAAATACAAGTTACTTTTTTCGGCTTCGGCCACCCCTTAGGAGTAGGAGTAGAGTAGATCTCGGCGAGTTCTTCAGCGAGCAGGGCTGCATCGGTCCGGCTAATCTCCAGCTTGTCTGTAAGTACCGTCATGGCTTATACTTCTATTCGTACGGTTGCATCAATCCGGTCGACCTCCACTACGACTCTGGTATAAGCTAGTTATTGACTCTTGTTTAGTTCAAGTACGGCTGCATCGATCCGGTTGACCTCCACTGCTCGAACTAGATTAAGGTCAAGTTATCGGCTCTATCTAAGTGTGGCGTCCTTTGGATAGATTCATTAAGTTACCGATATTGCTTATTGCTTTCATTATTTATTTAATTACAGCAATATCACTTAGCCCGATTGGGATTGATCTAGATCAGCCTTATATCATGTTTAACCCATCGTTTGTTAATCTAAACTGATCTAATCTGCACCTTAAATGATGAGTTATGTTTTTATCAGCTGTTTTATGTCAATCTTGATCGTGCATAGTGTGTGGTTAAGGCATGTTTTGTCTTGAATAGATCTATTGGCTAACGAAAACCGTTCCATGGCCTGTTATCTTGGCTTGTGTGATTCTGTCTCACACCCCACTGTCAGCACCATGGAGTGGGGATCGTTATTTGGTAGATCGGTTCCTGATAGGGCATGACCTTAACTGTGCGCTATGCCTGAATCGACTGTTTTAGCTGATATCGCGTGCTTTCACATATGCAGTTCACGTCACGAGATCATTGAAGTAGAGATAGGTTGAAAGATGTGTTAGCCCCATGATGTTATTATTGTATTATGGCCTACATGATTCCACCTCATGCCCCACTGATATTAGTAATAAGTTAGGGTCGTTGAATTTATTGTTGTTTCTATGGCCTGCATGATTCTGCCTCATGCCCCAGTTGTCATAACAATAGATGAGATCTAATATGTTCATTAGATTTATCTCTATTAAATGGTTAAATGATGAAGAGATGCTTCTTTTGTATAAAAAGGGATTCGGTTACTTGTAGTCATTGGCTTAGCATAAGCTGATTATTATTGACATTCTATTACCATTGACTAATATTTGTCTAAATAACGAGATTCATCCTGAATGATAACCGATTTTTCTTTCACAACCCCATGGGCTTTAACTGATTTATTCTTATGAGTATGCTGGAATCGACTATTTAGTCGATTTCCTTCCACATTGGCTCTCAGAGCCGCACATTCAGGACTGTCTGGCAACACCAGCATGTTCTGCCTTAAATTACTGATTAGCTTTCTCTCCTTGTCAGTTGCAGGGTCAAATTGACTGGCACATCTCGGGAGGAGTGCGTAGGATCGATAATCCTTGCATTGAAGCTAGGTGGATCTCTAGCTCCATTGAGCGGACCCTTCTGGCTTGCTCGTGTGCCCTCGGTACGGGATGAAATTTTGTGCCGATAGATTGGTCATTCAATCCATTGCCACTAGCATCCACAGCATCACTAGCATCCATCGTGGTTCCCTCAATGTCTGTTCTAGGCCATTGAAGTCTTACATTTGCATTATTGAACATATCTCCAAGGTGTGTGACATGGAATGACTCATTTTCAACATCATCTTTCCATTCATCACAACCTATCGTATATATCTCTTGGTTTCATCTTCATGACTATAGACCACCAAGGGTTTTCTTTGTCTTTAGCATAAAACACCTGGTTAGCTTGGTTAGGAAAAATATATGGTTCATGAACAATCTTTTCTCCTGTATGTATCAGGTGTGAGAAATTAACAAGTGTGTAGCCATACTTGTCCTTCTTTATTCCCCTTTTAGAAAGAACATCAACCCATTCACATTTGAAAAGTACCATAGAAAAATTCCCAGAGTAGTTTAGCTCATTAATATCAATTATCCTCCCATAGTAAGTCACATCACCTAAAACTGGCCTGCCATCAGTTGCACTGGCAAAACTTCATGTTTTTGCAGTTAGCACTGCACCACTATTTTGTGTCACCCTATCCAACCGTTTGGGCCTAAAATGGAAACCTCGAATGTTGAAAGCACGGTACCTTTTTGCAGCATCAACTAGGCCACGAGCTAGCCACCTAATGTCATCTTCAACACCATGAATGCCATTTTCCCTCTCTAACTTCATTATCTGTACAATTATACAAGTTTAGTCCTACACGTTAGTGCTACATAAGCATTTTGAGTTAAGGTACTTACATGACCTCTAAACCATTGATGGAACTTGTCATTTTGGATTTTCTCAACATCTCTATGACTGGCTCTATGTCCAGTACCTTTTCCAATGATCTCTTCAGCCTGAGCTCTACAATTTACATGTAAGAAAATTTATGGGAGGCAAAAAAATAAATTTATGTTTACAATTTTGAGATATTACCTAAGGTATGGATCGACATCGGAACAATTGAATAGCACATATCTATGTGCTTCTACTTTAGCCAAACCTCTTAGGACATAACTCCTTGGCTTCCCAAGTGGTTTCCCAGATTGAGGAAAAAGAGTTGATGCATGTCTAGTAGAGCATCCAAGTGACTCCTCATTATCATCATTCTGCGAAAGCCTATTAGACAATGTCTAAAAACCATCAAGAAATGTTGAACAAAAGTGCATAGCCTCTTTTGCTAGAACTGATTCTGCAATGTAGCCCTCTGGATGAGCTTTATTTCTCACATTTGACTTCAAATCACCAAGGTACCTACACAAACTAGTATAAATTAATAAAACTATAATTTAGCATGCAAAGCGAAGGTACCAAACATGGCTCTTAATTTTTTTATAAGAAAAACGTACCTTTCCACAAAATACATTGATCGATAACATAAGGACAACCTATTTTTGCCTTTGTTGCTAAGTGAAGAACAAGATGCACCATGATAGTGAAAAACCCAGGAGGGAATATCATCTCCATAGAACATAACATCATTATGATTCAGTCCTCTAACTTCTCAAGTTCATTCACGTGGAGAAGTTTTGCATTTAGTTCTCTAAAATATCCACACAGATCAAATAAGATAGATGTAACTTTATCTAGGAGAATACCTCTTAGAGCAAGTGGCATAAGTTGTTGCATTAGTATGTGGCAGTCATGACTTTTGAGGCCTAAAATTTTTTCTTGACCAAAATTTACACATCTAGAGATGTTACTAGAATAACCATCTGGAACTTTTATGTCACGAAGGACTTTACAGAATTGTTGTTTCTCTTCTTTAGACATGTTATACAAAGCAGGAGGCAAGTAATACTTACCATTAGCCTTTTTTATGGATGTAGATCTGGCCTGATGTTCATTTCTTGCAAGTCTTTCCTTGCCTGTAGATTGTCCTTTGATTTGGCATCCATTTTTAAAAGTGTCCCAAATATATTTTCACACACATTCTTCTCTATATGCATAAAGTCAAGATTGTGCCGTAGCAAATTATACTTCCAGTAAGACAAACAAAATAGGCCACTAACACCCTTCCATGTTTTGGACTTCTCAAAGTCTTTAATTGATTTTATTCTTTCCAAAAGAGATACTCCAGAATAAGAAATAGGTCTCAACCGATGCTCTTCGGTTCCGTCAAATGAATTGGCATCATAACAAAACTCATGGCTAGTGGGTAGAAATCGGTGGTGTCCCATGAAACATTGCTTGAGGCCATGCTTCAAGCGTATTGAACTTGTTTCATCTTCATAGGACACACAACCCAACTATCCCATAACATTGTACTGTGCTAGTATCCCTGTCCCAGGGTAGTCACTCACAATATGCATAAGAGAAGAAGCTTTCATGCATAACCATGGTGGAAGATTGTATGGTACTAATACAACTGGCCAACAACTATGGGTAGAATTACACTTCCCATATGGGTTAAAACCATCTGTTGCTATTCCAAACCTCATGTTTCGAGAATCTGATGCAATATGAGGGTGCTGGGAATCAATGATTTTCCAAACCTCTGAATCAGCAGGATGGCACAAAGCACCATCCTTTGTATGCTCCTCATCATGCCATCTAGTTAACTTGGTTGTTTCCTTGTTCATGAAAAGCCTTTTAAGTCTAGGTTTGATTGGAAAGTAACACAATACCTTATTTGGCGTTGCCTTTCTTCTTTCCTTTTTTGTTAATGATGTTTTATCTGGCTTATTTTTCCATCTTGAAGCTGCACATTTTGAACAGAAGTCATCATATTTCTTGTCTTTCCGATAGAGCTGACAATTATTTGGGCACACATGAATCTTCTCATATCTAAGACCAAGCTTCGCAATGGTCTTCTGAGCCTCCACAAATGTTCTAGGTATATTTGAACCATTTGGGAGAGCTAGCTGCAAAATTTGAAGTAGATCATTAATTGATTTATTGCTCCCTTGTTGGTCGACTTCACATGAAACAATAGGACTAGGAAAGAAAGTTTTGATAGCTCACATCCTTCCCATAAAGGTTCATCAGTAGCCCTAAGCAAATCAAAGAAATCTTGTGTTTCCACATCTGGTCCATCTTCAGATAAACCTGATGTGTGAGGTCCATTTGTGTGATGTTCATTGTCTATATATCCAAATGCTTCTTGGACTACTTGGTGCATATTAGTGTTTAAACTTGGACACGGTGACTCTGAATCTTTGTTAGCAGAGATATAAGATGTTGTTTCCCCATGATAGCCCCATATAGTGTATCCATGCAGCATTCCATCACACACTAAGTGCTCATACACTGTTTCTTGCATTTGTAACTGCCTATTGACACATTTGACACAGGGGCATTGAATCTTTGCATCAGACTTTTTCCCACTGTAGGCAAACTTAAGAAAACCCTATACCCTAGCTATGTACTCATCACTTGGTCTTCTGGATTGCAACAACCTCTTAATAGCACGTAAGTCCATTAATTCACTGAAATCAAGAGATACTATCACTGCATCAGTTATGTGGTACTTCAATAGCTGAGACAAAATATTGGAAATACATAAAAAGCTATGAATTATATAAAGTGGACTCAAACAGTTTGTGTCATGAGGAAACAATTTAATATTCTAATAACTACAAATGAATATGAGATATTTCGACAATTCCTACTTCAAACTTAACTAATTGGGCAATGTTCTTGGAAAAATGTTTGTATGAAAAATACTTCGACAATTCCTACTTCAGACTTCAGTATGAAAATATATGGCTCAGAGTTGTAGCAAGCATCATTATATGCATTCAGCTATGTTTTCCATGATACTATAATGAACAAAGCAAGTACTAGATATTCCATTGATTATATTTTCTTTGTCTGTTGAAATCGAAGTTCATCAACTTAGTAAGGTTGCCTTTTTTTCTAATGAACTGGAATCAGATGTGCCAATTTTTGTTTGTGAAGGAGAGGAGTTAGGTACAAGAGACCTAAAGAAATTATACAGGCAAACCAAAGAGAAACAGCCACAAGGCAAATAACTATGGAGTACTACAGTTGCCATAGTACAAATATGACAAACATAATTCAAAAGGCAAGCGTATGCAGCTCTTCTACATGTTTGCTAGTGTACAGTTTCACATGGTTGCCATTTAGTTAGACACAATTATGACTAATGCGGCGAAAAAGTTTCATCATAAATGTTACTGACAACATTATCTGTGGAGATTCAGAAATAGCACCAAGGATATACAGTTTTGAAACCCACATGGCTGACTCAGCAATGACAAACCATGGAATTATTTAGGCCTTTAGTTTTGCATTTGTTACTATAATATACTAAATCACAGATTTGTCATGGATTGGAAGGTTGCTTTTGCCCTCAAAACAAGGCTTAGGTTCACGGTTCAGACAATGCATTACACATGACATAGCCATATGCCCATATAGGCCAAATGATGTGCTAACAAGATCACATGCCCTGAGTTAAGTAGGGCAGACTCATCTTAATAACATACACCTATAAGATAGCATTAGTGATTAGTAGGCGGGGAAGGAGGCGCAGAGGATGGCGCCGGCCCGTCGTTTTCCCCCCGCGTCCGCGGAGGCGAGTGGGTCCGGGCGAGGGCAGCACTCCACGGTGGCATTGATGGAGAGCGGATCCGTGCGATGGGGAGCACGGGAAGCACTCTACGGTAGAGGCGATGGAGAGCAGGATTCGCATGCGATGGGCGCTGGGTCGCCGATCGCCGTCTCGATGTTGTCGGAAATCGGAACGGAACCACAGCAGCCGTCAGCCGCTAGCCGAGCCTTTTGGTTGGCGATTTGACGAGAAGGGTGCGGTTGGTGGTGATTTCGTAGATGCAGATTTCTTTTTCATGGTATGAGCAGATGGAAAGGCGGATTTGATCGGTAATGTGCAAGCTGGCGTGGCCATCCGCCATGCCGACCAGGACTCAAGTTCAACACAAAACTTGTCTTACTCGCAAAAAAAACACACACACACGGATACATATTATATACCATTGGTCATATTAACTAAAACCAAAATAATTATGTAACTCCCCAAAATTTGCCTCTTTTAAAAATAGGATTAAAATGATTTAATTCTGTATTTTTGTGCTCATGAAATATAGGAAAATAAATTTTTTTATTAAATTAAAATTTATCATAAGGTAGCAATATGTTTGAGCATACAGGCCCCTACATTTGATTTATTTGGTTGAGTGGTTTTGACAGAAAATTCAAAATGGTTTAAATTTCTTTTGCAAATGAAATTAAAAATGGCTTTGAAATAAAAGCATTTAAAAAAGTTGTAAAAATTTATTTTTGAAAACTTACCAAAATTGCTCATTTTTATTTGAGTGGAAAAGTATACTTGAAACTACATCAGAATTCGATTTGGTTCATGTTTTAAATTTGGTTTGAATTAAGAAAGGAAAATAGAAAGGTATTTGGAAAAAGAAAAGAACATTCTCCCTTTTTCTCTCTTTTGGCCCAGCCGGCCCCACAAGCCGAGCGGCCCAGCTACTTCTCTTCCCCTCCCACGCAGCCCAGCAACCAGCGGCCCGCCTCTCCTCTCGGGCCACCGTCACCAAGCCGTAGGCCGCTTGCTCAACCCGCACTCTCTCTTTGAACCGGCCCAACTAGAGCCGAAGCCCACGCGCGGACGCCGCCTGCTCTTGGGTCAGCCCAGCAAGGCCGTGCAACCGAGCCCCGCCCTCTCCTGCTTACATGTCTAGCCCATCAGTTAGTTGTGTCTCCCACGTCCGCCCGTGAACCGCCCGGACTCCACCGCAGCCTCCACCGAGAGTCCGAGGCTGCCCCACACCGTTGCTTTGTGCCGCAAGTCCCTCCGTTCCTTAAGGGTGCATTTGGTTGGGATTCAAAGTGGGGTGGGACGATCCTGTCTCTGATTTCTGGGACGGGGCGGGGATGGAATGGCTCTATTTTCTATTTGGTTGACAAGGACGGGATCAACCCATTTTGTGTTTGGTTGAAGGGATAAATAGGAATGGGATGGAGGGTGAATTTGACGCCGTCGGCTACTGTTTACTGGGACCCACTTGTCATACTCTTTTTAATTTTTTATTTCTTATTCTCCCTTATCTTCTTTCCAGGCGTGATGTCTTATCTTCTTCCCCATGCTATGGCTGCTGCTGCTCGTTGGACTCCCCCACGCTCGTACGGTCCATGGTTGTTGCTCGTCGAACTCCCCCACGCTCGCACGCGCCATGGCTGCTACTCGTCGGACTCGCCCATGTGCCAGAGCTTCGAGAGCTGGGACCACACCGCGCTAGAGCTGGGGCCGCACTAGAGCCCCGCGAGCTGGGGCCGTGCCGTGCTGCAGTGCACCGGAGCAACCCGAGCTAGGGCCATGTCGCGCCGCACCGGAGCCTGGAGGTGGCCCCGCGGGCACTCGACCGTAGCTTGCCCGCGCTGGAGGAGGCCATGCTCCCGTTCGCCATCATCTGGAGATGTTCACGCCGTCCCATGCCGTTGCAAGAGGACGTCCCCATCCGCGCTTTTTTCTAGGACGGGCTCGATCCCGATTTCACCGAATATTCCATGGATATGCTCTAGGTGGGATATCCTAATTCCTAAGGACTCCCAACCAAACAGTCAAAAAGTGGATCCATCCCATCCCCAGCCCACCTCATCCCCAAAACCAAACACTACCTAAATAGTGGATGCCCACGCCCGTGCCTTCCCAATCGAAGCTCCAAGGCTACAGCCATTTCGCCGAGTCACCGTAGCCACGCTGCAACCTAGCGCCGCCATCCGCCGTCCTCCTTCCGAAGCCGCACACCGTCTCTGAGCCATCTCCGGCCCCGTAGTTGCCCTTGGTAAGTTCGCCCCGCCGCTCTATCTCTTCCAATGTCTTCCCCGTCGAAAACCATGGCCCGTAGCCTCCTCCGCAAGAACGCCACCGTGCCGGCCATGGCATCGCCGCCGTCTATGTCACCGCCGGCGACCTCATCTCCCCCAACCAATCATAGCCGTCCGATTCGAAATCAAGAGTCCAGATTAGAACGTACCCCTTCGTTGACTCTTTTGCAAAAATCCCCTTACAACTATTTGAATCTTAACCCGCGGTCCAAAGCGCAATCATAGATTATGTTTTCTTCTTTGAAAAACGTAGTTTCGTCAGTTTAGATACAAAATACGTTTTCACTTATTTACAGATTTGCCACTGATTTTGTTTTAGTCATAACCTCTCCGTTTTAACTCCGATTTGACCCGTTCAACTTGCGTTAGGTTTGTAATTTCATAATCTACATGTTCATACTACTGTTATATATGTTTTCAACTTTTAAAATTCAAGGTTAGATTTAATCTATTATTTTAATAAAGAAAATCTTGTTTAATTTATATCTTCTACGTTTTAGCTCCGAATTGACCCGTACAAGTTGTGCTAGATTCATTGCAACGAGATCTACGTGTTAGTAACAATGTTTATCATGTCACAATTTCTAGAATTTTATGGTTTAAACTTTAATTTGAATAATAATTATGCAACTAGATTTTATAAATAAAATATGATTTGTTTTACTTTAGTTTTATAATTCAGATCTAAATTTGACTTAATTTATATTATCTATAGAATATCTTATATATGTTTTTATATAGTTAAAACACATGAAGCTAATAGTTTGATATTTTCTTTTATAAGTAGATCTTTTGGTAGATGTATCTTTTTCACCATAGCTCCGATTAGAGTGCTTGTCACGTCTGTATGTTCGTAGCAAGACATAGATTCATTTTACAAACTTTACATCTTGATTTTATGATTGGTGTACTGTTTTAATTTAGATCTATTGTTTGCTTTGTGTATGATTGCATGGATGCTTGTGTGGTGCTTTATGATCATGTCTAGTCGGTGAGCTTTACGTGTTGATCAAGAAGTAGATCTTTGAAGTTTTGGACTTGAAGAAGGATCTAAGTTTAAGGCAAGTATAGCATGGAATCTTCCTTGTTGTCCTATACACCTTTAATCATTTAATTCATACTGCATGTGTCTACCTTGACCACCACTAAGGATTTCCTAGTACTTTGTACCTTGTGCCTTGAAATCTATGGGGTATTACATTGGATAGTTTGAT